CCCAGGCAGGTCTTGAACCCGCGGGTTCAGGCAATCCACTCACCTCAGCCTCCCAAGGCACAGGATTACAGGCTGAGCCACTGACCCCAATGCTCAAATCTTAATGTTACATACTCATGGAAAGCAGAATGTAACAAAAGCATATTTATGGTCAGGTGTGGTGGCTCATGCCTGTAATTCCAGCACTTTGAGATGCTGAGGCAAAAGAATCACTTGAGCCTGGGAGTTCGAGACCAGCTTGGGCAACAGCATGAGACTGTGTCTGTTATCAAAATAAATAAATAAAAGAATATTTATGAAGAAAATATACCAAAATGGTAAGAGTGGGTATCTGGGTAATGAAATTATAGTCATTTATATTTCTCTTTTATATTTTTATTTTCCAAAATTTCTGTAATAAAAATATATTACCCCTGCTGGGCTCGGTGGCTCAGCCTGTAATCCCGTGCCTTGGGAGGCTGAGGTGAGTGGATTGCCTGAGCCCGCAGGTTCGAGACCCGCCTGGGCAACTTGGCGAGACCTCATCTCTATAATAAATCAAAAATCAGCCGGGCGTGGTAGTGCGCACCTGTAGTTCCAGCTACTTGGAAGGCTGAGGCGGCAGGATCGCCAGAGACCAGCAGGGCGACAGAGTAAGATTCCAACTAAAAAAAAATAAAATTACCCCACCCACCAGAAAATAAAAGTTATGTGCAATTTACATAATGTCATATAGCTACATATTCGAAACCGTCTCTTAAGGAGAAATGCAGAAGGCCCTGCAGCTATGTGACTACACACACTAGGCACAGCTGGAAGGGAAGCAGTAAAATGACACTAGCCTGGTTTGTTTGTAGAATTCACCACTGATGCTAAGTGGCCTTTTCAAGAAACTGTAAACGTGTTACAGGGAGAGAAAAAGAAAAGGGCATTACCTGCCGCTTGATGGGCTTGGACTTGTGCTGGTTTACAAATGCCTCCATTTCACTCAGCTCCAGCTGCAGAAACCTGGATACACAGAGAACTAGCATTTCCAGACCCCGGCTATGCCCTTCTCTGGCCAGTTCACACCACCCTTGCCCCCAAGCTTCCAGGGCTTGGCCCTGCACCGGCCCTTACCTGAGCGACTGTACAGACAAAGGCTCCTCTGCCTTCTCCCTACAAGGAGTGGGGCCAGCATGGCAGGTTTAGTGAGGAACGCTGCGGTCGGATGGAGAGTTCTGGGAAGGAGGGGGTTATCAAGAGGAAAATGGGGTATCAAGGGGAAGGTGGGCTCTCACCGGATGGCCTCCAGCATCTCCTTCAGAGTTAGGTGGTCGATCATGTCCTGTGACAGCATGGTAAAAGGGAAGGCCTGTGAGCTTGAGCTGGCAGGGAACCTGGACACTCACGCCCTCAGGGAGTTCCATGCTTCTAGGATACCTCTTTCTCTCTACTCCCCTGCCAGCCTGCCTTTGCACAGAGCCTCAGCATCAAGCCTTTTGTTTTCATCCCGTTTATCAATGCTTCCCCCCAAGGCGCTTCCCTCCCCCGTTTCCAGGCTTCTGTCTTCTGTGGTGGGTCCCTGCCTTTCTTGGTTTCAGCTCACCCAAAAGCGGACAGGGGTGTGGCTAGTGTAGAGCAATTCTCTGGGTTCTGTTCTCCAGAGGGCCTGGCTGAGTGCCTCCCTGGAAGCCATTGCTCGGGGGCTGAGCACACGCCTTGCCCAGATGTGCCACCAGCCTGCCTTCTTCCTGGGAGCCCAGCTCTCCTCACCCAGTGGTTGCCATCTATACCTGTGGTTCCCACCCCCACGTTGTTTACCTCCTTGGTCTGGTTCCAAAGGTCTTGTTCCAGAGGGTTTGGCGGCAGTGGAGGCAGGCTGAACATGAAGTAGGGTCTAAGGTTCTTATACACATAGACGCAAGGGCCCGAGGCGATGGCCAGAGCTGGAGTTTGGGGTTCATGTTGCTCCATGAGGAAGGTGGCAGCCGCGGCTGGCAGGGCAGGTAGTGAGCTTTCGGTCAGCACTGTCAGTCCTTTGAGCACCTTCAGGCGGGGCTGCTGCCCATCTGGGCCGAGGTCCCCCACCACCAGCTGGAGGGAAAGGATGGCTCATTCTAGACTCGGGATCTGAAGACCTCCCCGCTGACCCTCTTAGGTTCAGCCTTTTTGCTGGTGCACATTCATTCATTCCCATACCAACAAAGGCTTTACCCGAAGGCTTATAAGCTATGTGACCTTGGGAAAGTTGATTAACGTCTTTGAGCCTTAGTTTTCTCACTTGCAGAAAGGAAATACCTACCTCATGACACCTGTGGTGGAAATCAAATGAGATAATGAATTACAGTACACGGAAAGGGATAGTAAGGAGCAGGTGTTAGTGGATGTTTTTTTGGTTTTTTTTTTGAGTTGGAGTCTCACTCTGTCGCCCAGACTGGAGTGCAGTGGCCGCTCCCAGCCACCGCAGCCTCGACCTGCTGGGCTCCGGCGATCCTTCCGCCTCAGCCTTCCGAGTAGCAGGAATTACAGGCATGCGCTACCACGCCCGGCTGATTTTTTGATTTATTGTAGAGATGAGGTCTTGCTGCCCAGGCGGGTCTGAACCCGCGGGCTCAGGCAATCCACTCACCTCAGCCTCCCAAAGGCGCGGGATTATAGGCTGAGCCACCAAGCCCGGCTGTTCAAATCTATTTTCATAAAATATTCTCTTCAACTTGCTTCCAGCATGTTACAATCCATTGATTCTCTACTATTTTCACTGGTCACCATGTACTACAATTCTTTGCCAATTTCTCCTCATTCACTCTATCAAATATTGGCAAACCTTAGAGTTTAGTTCTTACATTTTTTAATGAATACAATTTGATAGTCAATTTTGGATACTCAAAATTGGATACTTAGATTTATCGCCCCAGCCTTTTATTGTTCAATGAAGTCAAATCAATACACAAATCCTTCTATTTAAAATTTCTTTTTGAAAGCTTAATATGTGTTTTAAATTTCCACTGCCGCAACAGCAATCTACTGTCTAAGCTCAAACTCTTTCTACTCCTTCCAATTTTCTCTTTCTTTTCTGTTGCTTAGGTTCAAAACGTTGAAATTTCCAGCAGTTCTTGGTTTCTCATCCAGCAGCAAATATTCTCTGTTACAAGAAAAAGGAACAAACAAACAAACACAAACCAAAACCAAAACAAAAAAACCCACAAAACTTTTTTTAAGCAGGAAATCATCTCTTAGTGTATGCTTTCATAATCATTGTCCTAAATTATGGCAATTATATTTTCTAAAGGATCTTTTTTCTGACTTTTATTCCTTAGCCTATTTTATAAATAGTAGCCAACATATTCTTTTTTAAAACAATAATCTTTTAATTCAACTACATTGAGTTTTGGCATAAAAATGACTCTATACACAATGAACTGCAACCTAACCTGGTATGTAACTAAACTTGCAATTTGCTTTAAGTAAATTATTGTAAAAAGTTGCTGAGTTTCAGCCAATAAGAGGATCTTGAATTTCAGTCTATTACAGACAGTCACCTCATCAGATCATATCCATACAAATCATATCTTGAGATGTAATCAACTCATAATGCTGTTTCTGTGTATCTGTTTCTTTTTCTATTTGTAAATACTACCTTTCCACATTGCTGGATGGAGATCTCTGAATTTTTCTTGGTTGAATGCTTCCTGATTCATGAATCATTCTTTGCTCAAAGAAAATATGCTAAATTTAATTTGTCAAATTAATTAAACTATATTTTTTATGTTTGTTTTAGAGATGGAGTCTCGCTATGATACTCAGGCTGGTTGCAAACTCCTAGCCTGAAGTGATCCTCTTACCTCAGCCTCCCAAAGTGCTGGTATTACAGGCATGGGCCATTGTGCCCAGCCTGAACAATAATTTTTGTACAATTTATTTAACTGCACTTAAGTGTAAAGTTTGATGGGTTTTCACAATCTATAAAATCATGAAACTACCACCACATTCAAGCTGTAGATTATTTTCTGCAAAAGTGTCCTCATCCCATTTTCAATCTGTTTCTTTTACTCAGCTCTTTCCCCTGGCAACAAGTGATCTTTATAACTTTTGCTTTTAGAGAGTATCATACAAATGTGATCATCTCGACTTTTCAATTGTTTTTTTCACTCAGCGTAAAGTTTTGAGAGTCATCATATTGTAGCACAGATGAATAGTTCTCACATTTTTACTGTTGACGTATAGCATAACTTTTTATCCATTAATTAGTTAATTGAGAATGTTTTGTTGTTTTTATTATTATGCAGGAACTTTTGGTGAACAACACGGTACATGTTGTATATGCTTTCAATCTTTATGAGTAAATAGCTAGATGGTGGATATAAGGTCATATCAAGGGGTATATATTGTTATATTTGTAATCCGTTGTATAAAGTGCATGTAATGTTTTACATTCCCAACAAGAAAAAATGAGACATTGTGATCTTTGCATTCTTTGTGTAACCTCTTTCTGTGTGTCTAGTCATTCTAATACACTACTGTTGATTTTATAACTTAGTCAGCATTTCTTAATGACTAAAGAGACTGAGTTTCTTCATGTTTTATTTGCTGCTCACAACTCTTTGAAGTGTCAGTGTAAATTATTGATTCTTATTTTTGCTATTATTATTTATAGTATGTCTTTATATATTCAGAATACAGTTATCTAAAAGATATTTTTTTCACAAGTATTTTCACTAAATTTTTACATGAATTTTTGTGTTCAAAGAACAATTTTAAATTTTAATAAAGTAAAATTAATCACAATCGTTTTTTTAGTTATGCTTTTTAGCTCTTATCTAAAGATATCTACATAAAACCCAAGATGACATAGATTTTAGAATATGATTACTTCTATGATTTTTATAGTTTAATGTTTACACTTGTGCCCATTGTTGATTCAAATTAATTCGTGCATGCGGCTAAAGGAAAGATTTAATACTTTTTAATGTAGCAATTCAATTTTTCTTGAATTTTTTTTTTTTGAGAAGACTACTCTTATACATCTAATTGCCTTGGCATCATTGTTGAAAATCAATAAGTCATATATATGTAAATTTATTTCTGGACTCCATTTTGTTTCAATGACCTATATGTCTATTATAATGCTAATACCCTACTCTATTGATTATTATACCTTTATAGTAACTCCTGAAATCTGTACCTATCCTCAAAAGGTGCAACCTGACTGAAAAAATATAGTAAAACGGTAGATCTAAACCTAATGTGTCAATCAATATATTATATATAAATTGATTAAATAAGTTAATAAGTACAAAAATGTCTGATGAATTTTTAAAACTATATTTTTATATTTGACAAATTGTACACAATGGACATAAAGAGTTAACATTACAAAGGTAAAAAAGTGATGTATCAAATAAACTAACATAGTGTTAATATAGTCATATAAGTCAAGGTAAACTTTAAGATAAGAAAATGGATTAAAGAGATACAATTTATTATGATTAAACAGTTTGTTCACTAATAACATACAAAATTTTTAAATATTGAAGCATCAATATCATTCATTTATGCCACAATATTGCTAAAATAACCAAAAATTTAGAGGCATTAAAGATAAAGCACTGTAATTTTTTGACTTCATTGTTTGGCTGGTGGTTATAAGTATTTGGCTGAGTCAACTGATCTCTGGTGAACTTATTAATACATTTGTGATCAGCTTAGAGGAGCCTAATAGTACATAATGACTTCTGTTGAGTCAACTCAGCTCCTTTCCATGTTATCTGTGACGTATCTCCAGCAAGTTATGTCAGTCACATGGTTAAAGTAGATTCGGGAACCCAAATGAGGAGTCAGAAGACTCCAATAACATTTTCAAGTCCCTGCTTATTGTCATGTTTGCTCCATACCCATTAGACAAAATAAGTCCAATGGTCAACTAAAAGGTTACTGTGATTGAGCACTACACAACTATAAGGATAGAGAGAAACCTGCAAATATGGGTCCATCGGTGTAGTTAATTTACCAAAGGCTTAATGACATAGCTTTAAAATGTCTATAGTTATATAAAACATTAATAATAGTGATGAGAGAAATATAAGAAACATATCACACAAAGTACAGATAACATTTTTATTTTGCAATAATAATGATAATTAAGAGGAACAGAAAAAACTCTTTACAGCTTCTTCATACTATGAAAAAGTACAAGACTTAATTTCATAAAACTAGTCCAGAATACACAAAATATGCTAAACTAATTACGTAGAAAATGACATTAAAAATAAAATTATACTAAAAACCTTATTCCCACGTTCAAGAACTGTATTTCAAATAACAAACCTAATGCAATGCATTGAAAGTTTGTGTACACCCAGAATTCATATGTTGAAATTCGAACTCCCTAATATGACGGTATTAGGAGTTGAGATCTTGGGAAGTAAGTAGTTCACAGAAGATGAGTCCCCATGAATGAGATTAATGCTGTTATTAAAAAAAAAATTCCAGAGAGCTCTCCCTTTCAACCACGTGAAGATACAAGATGTCGCCAGTTTGCAATATAGGAAAGTTGTACTAATCAGAATTCTACCGCACTGCAACCTTGACCTCAGACTTTCAGCCTACAAAACAGTGAGAAGTACATTTCTGTGTTTAAAAGCCACAAATCTGTGGTACTTTGTTGTAACAGTCTGAATGAACTAAGATACAATCCAAATAAGAGCATCAAGAAAAATGCAAAGTCAAAGTATATTAGCGGTGATAGAGATCAGAGCACTTAACATATTTAGCATCATGAGATATATTAGGAAGCCAATATTTGCTTCTTTTTGTAATGCTGAACAGAGAAATAGTTTGTTTCCAATTAACAAAATACAAATAAATAAGTACACAAACAGGAAAAGATTGTACAAACACCAAAATAGCCTAGAACCCATTCATTTAATTAATTATAAGCAAATAGCAATGCAAAGAGATAACTATCAGTTTAGTTTGGGCATTGAGTTAGCAATGCTTGAATACTATCTACTAGTGGGACAGATAACCCTAAGAAAAACTTGGTTAACAAAGAAATTAGGTGACTACTTGGGTGTCAAAAAGACAAAAAGAATGGTTGGTTATAAA